AAAACACATAGCAGTATCTTTTAATTTACTTTGTACAGAGAATTTTCATTTGGTGAGGCAGATACATCTGGCATGAGAATTTGTGCCTAATAACCCTCTGCTCTGACGAGGCAGGTATCTCAAGTGCAATCTCTGCAGGAAACTTACATTAGTATTACCCTTTTCAACAGATTTACATGGAGAATTCTACTTCTGCTGCAACAATCATTCTTCTACTTCACCCTTCAAAAAACCCTCAGTAAAGCAGCTTTGTGCTGTTCCTATTTTATCTGAACATTTTGTGGCTTGCTAAATTCAAAGTTTTCCAAAACTAGAAATACTAATATTTAGCAGGAACAGATATTAATTTAGCAATCAAAGTATCTCACAACCTTTTCATCCACAGCATGGTTATTTAGATGAGATCTACAGACAAAACTGGCTTACAGAACTAGGAAGTCTTGATTTGAAAAAAATGCAAGTTTTAGAATTGTGCAATTTTGAAAGCTCAACTTCCATTACATACGCATAAAAATTTTACAGGCTTTTAAGTTTCATATGCTGTAAATTCTAAATAAAAAATATTTTCACTGCATGGACTTGACAGCATAGGCTTTTTCTCTATATTCACCATTTTCATTTAAATTTTTCAGTTTATGTTAAGCATCCTACAATTCAAATATTTATGGTCTCTTACCCCCTCCTCTGTGAGTCTACCCACTCTTGGTCTCTACTGTCTTCTTCTGGGTCATATAGCAGTTCATCATTGGAAAGAATCCGACGTTGCTGATGTTTTCTGTTTTTCCGGACATCCTGTGTAACTGGAAAGATTCGTGCAAGCACGTTACATCCATCAGACATACGATGACTCTCTACTTAAAACAATCAGAATACCATTTTTTTTAGTTTTCCTTTTCCATACTCACAATAAATCTACACTAAAACGTAAAGGTTTAGCTCATCTCCCCTCCACATGCACCACCCCAAAACATTAATGCACCTTACATACATTGGAATACATCATAAAGTTGCAGAAACTACATTGAGATGATACAGGCTGGTAATTCCCTGCAAAAGGCTGCCTTCAGGAACAGCCCCTTGACCCCACAAGAGGACTGCACAGGATCTGAGAGAGTGTGCTACTGTAAATACGTTCTCCTTTCTCCTCAGCCATTTACCTGTTTTATCTTCATCCTCTGAATCAGAATCAAAGTAAATGTCATCATAGTATTTTGAAGTGGTGGCAAGTCCAGTCTGCCCAGTACTTGAGGAAGTACCTGTGTATGAAATTAGAGAGAGAAGTGGTAAGAACACCCCACCAAAAGGACAGCAAGTATACAGCCCAGAACAAACCGTCGTTACCAAGTTGCTTTATCCAGAAGTTCTCTCCTTTATCCAGGTATGTTAAGTAACAGGTCTCCCAATTTATTCCAACATCCTGATCATCCACATTACTTGTGTTATTTCATTTACAGATGCTCTCTCAGAGCAAAGCTGCTCACTCCCTCTGAGATGAGCGTCAGGTACAGTTCAAAGCAAAGTTTCTCCCAAGGCACACTCCCTTTAGGCATAGAGGACACCACATCAAATATGCCTGCCTCTGCCCTATATAATCCACACAATCTCAGACACTCCACAAATCTTCAGTCATGCAAAAGAAACAGAGGTATGGCACACTGCTTCACAAACTTTGATTACAATGAAGTTCACTTAAGAAATCCCCCAAAATTTCAGGGCCACAGAAGTTCAAAAAAGACCTAGATGAATGGCCAAGCACATCTGTCACAGCCAGTCTGCACCAAAAATCCTATTCTGTGCTGGATGGATGTGGTTATCACTACATCTTTTTAATTGCACAACCAAAACCTAAAGATCAGATTTGCCCACTAACACAGATAAAACTAATAAACCCGCTGAATGCAGAGTGAAGTCCCTGCATTAAAGGGACTAAACTGATTCTCCAGGAAATCAAGAACACTTCACCAAGTATTTTGTAATAGGTAAAAAGAACATATGCTCTTCAAATGCCAAAGCAATCCATCTCTTGCACCCGTAATACACAAACTCCAGAACGCATATAGCTTTAATACGGTTTTACTATTTGATGTAACAGTTATAAGCAGGTAAGGGAGGAAGAGATGAATAATTTTCCTGACTTTTCCCCCCCCAACTGATTTGGGATTTCTAACTACCATATGCTATTTCCTTCTTCAAGAAAGGGCTCCAAATCTTGATAGCTACCCGGAGCCACTGGACGAAGTACAAGAGACCACAAGATGTCGAGAGGCTTCTAAATATATGTGAAAGAACAACTTAAAGAGATATTGGAAAAAAGGGGACTGATCCAACAAAGAGACATCATATTAAAGCAGGAAATCAGAAGTTCAGAAACACCAAAATTGAAGTCTTAGAGAAGTTGAAACAGAGGCATTCACTGAAGTGGCATCTGGTGACCATTTCTGCAGAAGCAATCAGCCATTTTAAGATTTTCTGTAAGGTTCAAACGGCACTCAACTGTCACCACACACACCTCCAGCCACAAGAATAACACCCTAACTTCACACCTTAACTGGACACCACTTAACTCACGATTTCACACGCGAGCAGCTGTTAAATGCAATCTACCTGTTTCTGGTGATTTCCATTTGCCTTCCATAGTCCTCATGGTCGTGTTCAGTTCCTCTTCCATCTCCTTTTGGAACTCATCCTCACTGGAAGACTCGCTCTCCCCAGTCAGGCACTCCCGTATCAGCTTCCGCTTCTGGTCCGGAGTGCCATGTAAGAGCACATCCACCTCATCTTCTGAGCTACAAATATTTAAGCGTTACACACCTAGTTACGATGACCAGCTTAAAACACTGAGTCATTTGGAGAACGAACATCTGAATAGTGTGGAAGCACTTAGCCGTTTATTTACGGGAAATGCATTTATTGAAATCTTTTATTAGCTTGTTGGTGTTAGAACTCTGGTTCTAATGCAAAGGAGCTTCAGCTGACTGGCTGCGGCCTGCGGCCCCGCCTCTGCAGCTCTGGCCGGCGAGGCTCCGCGCAGCAACGGGGCTCTGTTCACACGCTGGCATTTGTAGGGTCACAAACGCGAACACCCCGCCTTCAAGGAAGAAAACCGCCGCGGCTGTGGCGAAGCGATCCTCCTGCAGCCC